CAGGGGTAGGCAAGTTCGGTCCTAGAGAGCCGCAGTCCTGCAGAGTTCAGCTCCAACCCTGAAAAAAAAAACTCACCTGTCTATAGCCTTGGTAATCCTGAAGACATTGATTAGCTTGTTCAGGTGTGTTTGATTAGGGTTGGAGCTGAACTCTGCAGGACTGCGGCTCTCTAGGACCGAACTTGCCTACCCCTGGTAGAGTTGATGAAATTATGAGATGTAGTAGTCCTTATTGGTATAGGCCTGGAGTCCTTTGGAGCTTGCTTGGGTGCAGTTTTGCAACGGCCCAAGGACTTTATTCAAAGTTGGGCACTCCACAAGGCAGTGTATATGCAGTTCTCTACAAAAGAAAACAACTCATAAACTTTCTTTTACAAACCCAACAAACATAGCACACAAAACATTTGAATGTAACCTTTTCTAAAGAATACATTTCACGAACTCTTCATAAAAGCATACACAGAAGCAAAAGATGAAATATAGAACAACAAACTCACGATTGAGCAGAAAAACTTTCTCGGTTACTAATGTAACCTTGGTTCCCTGAGATACGAGTACGAGTACTGCATCACTAGATGCTATGGGAAAACTCATTTTTCTCCGATACTGAAGCCTTTTTTAGTAACGCAGTGTAACTGGTAAGACCCTCCACTAAGGGTCTTTCCAAGGGACCAGAGCTGCCACGCAGGCCTGGTCCACCTTGATATACAGGCATCCGTGATGCCAGGCATGGGACGGAACTAGTAGTTTCAGCCAGTACTGAAGGAGCCGCATACGAAGCAGGCCCAGCTGTAGCACTGGAAATGCAGAGGCCATGAGGCCCAGCATCTTCTGAAACATCTAGAGAGGGCGAGAGGCTCCAATTCGAAGGAGGCCACGAGCTGCTGAATGGCCAGTGCACATTCGGGCTGAGTCGAAAACTGCTCCCAGGAACGGAATCCGTTGGCTGGGAGGCAGTGAACTTTTGGCAACATTGACCCTGAGTCCCAGGCATTCCAAATTACTGAGGAGGAGGGATCTGTGGGATAGTAGCTCGGCCTTTGACTGGGCTAAGATGAGCCAGTCGTTGAGGTAATTCAGAATGCAAATTCCCGTCTGCCTCAGAGGGGAAAGAGCCGCATACATGCGAAGAGCCAGGGACAGCCCGAAGGGAAGGACCGTGTATTGATTAGCCACTCCCTTGAAGGCGAATCTCAAGAATAGTCTGTGATCAGGGGCTGTCTGGATGTGAAAGTAGGCGTCTTTCAGGTCCAGAAAAGAGAACCAGTCCCCTGGGCATATTGCGAGAGGATCTGTTTCAATGCAGTCATCCTGAACAGCTGTTTCATGGGGGCACGGTTCAGGTGCCTGAGGTCGAGGATGGATGGATCAGTATTGAACGGAGTAATGGAGAACAAGAGCGAGCTTTCTTCGAGGGAGTTCCAGCCTGGCGAGAACTTACCCTCTCAAAAATGCTTTGCTAGACTCAATGCTCTCACAGCAGAGCAGTCAGTCCCCGTGAGTGAGGCCTCAGCGTGGGCGTGGCCCAGACGCATCAAATTCTGAAGCTGTCAGTGATAATAAAAATTAGTGACAGCATTCTCTTCCAATCTGCCCAAAATGATCAAACCGCTCGTTAGAAAAGGGGTATTTGCTAATCCTTGTGTATAAACACACCGGCAGATCAAAGGTGCTCTCAGATCTGCTCGTAGCAGAGGAGGGGAGGGGCGGGGCCACCTTCATTAAAGAAGGCGAACCGCGAGCTAAGCAGAGCGAGACACAACTCTCATAGTGAAAGCGGTCTGTCTCAGTGAGCGCAGCCTCAGCGACGCACACACATTGTGGCCCAAGCATGGCCCAAGCGACGCACTCAAACTCGAATTTGTCAGCGATACTGAAATCATTGGTGACAGCATTCTGCTCAGATCCGCTTAGAAGGATTGAGCCACTCGACAAAACGAGAGGAGCTGATCCTCACGTATAAACACACTGGCAGATCAAAGAGCTGTGTGGAGAGTGAAGCAGACGGGGGCTGTGCCGGCATGAAATCACTCAAGCCTAATCGCTCAGCCCTGTGAGTTCGCCGTTTCTTTCACCGAGGTAACTGGGAGGAGAGAAACATGAGAGCGGGGGAGGCGTAGTCACCGTCGTTGAAGAAGGGGGTCAGTGAGCGAAGCAGGGACAGACTGCCTTCACAGTGAAAGCAGCCTGTATCAGTGAGCGCAGCCTCAGCGACGCACACACAAATGTGAAGCCATCAGCAATATAGAATCATTGGTGATGGCATTCTACTCAGATCCACCTAGAAGGATTGAGCCGCTCTATGTAACGAGGGGCGCTGATCCTCACATGTAAACACACCGGTGGATCAAAGTGAAGGGGGGAGAGAGAGCATGTGGGCTCTGTGCCGGTGTGAGATTGCTCGGACCCGGTTGCTTAGCTCCCTGACTCCGCTGTTTCTCTCTCCGAGCTTTGCTGAGAGAGAAGAAACGTGAGAGCGGGGCTGCCTTCATTGAAATAGGCGGATCGTGAGCGGAGAAGAGCGAGACTCATGCTCTCAGTGAGAGCATTCCGTCTCAGTGAGCGCGTGGCTCTGTGTGGGTGCTGCCCAGACAGGCGACACACTCACCGCCCTTCTGCATCGCACTCGCAGCGCGACATTTGCAACAACGTCGCTAGGAAAATTAGCTCTTTTAGAACTCGCCAGCGGGAGGAAGGGGATGTGCTGAGAGCTGCGTGGATGCTGAAGGCTGCTCGAGCTGGAAGTGCGGAGCGAGAAGTCAGCTTCATTCCGCTGCGAGGCGTGTCAATGGCGAGCGGCTTCAAGTTTCGTGGATCAGCGAAGAGATGATCGTTGTCGCTGAAGGAGAAGAAA